TTTCTCTTGCACTTTCTTTTCTTCATATCTTTGATGTGCATTAAGTGCACTTTTATTAGAAGAGGCACTGAAATATTGATAATATTATGAAAAATATAGAAATAATAATATTAAAAATATATAAATATATAAAATGTTTCAATTTTACATAAATGAAATATCAAATTATAAATTTAAAAACTATTTTAGACTATCAGCTTTTGAAGGAAAATAAATATTATTTTATATTAAAACAAAATAAATTTGATAAAAAAGAAGTCTAAATGTCTAATAATTTTGAATTATTTTTATATATTGTATTAACAAAATATATTCAATGAATCTGATCAAAAATATTAAGTTACTTGAACCATTTTTTTTTCTTAGATTTTAACTAATATTTGATTTCTGGACTGTATATGGTACAAGAAAACTCATCGAAGGTAACAAGAACAAAAAGTATATTTCTTAAGTATAAGATAAACTTCTTAGTAGGCTTCCCAGGCCAAATATCCAACAATGAAGTAATTTATAGTTAGCAGTCAATGTATTAAATGAAAATTAAGTTTATGTTAGTTACTAGCATTAAAATGAAATCATTGTAATAAATGTTTTGGAAAATGACATAGTTTTTATAATATTTTTACATTTACATAAATCATATCATTTATTAGAAATTAAAAAATCTTTCAAATTATAATCAAATTAATATAAATAAATTAATAGACATACAAATCATATCCTTGTCCATGAACATTACACTCTGTTTGCGATCTTTGTTTTTGCAAATACTCTCGATGACATTTACTACAATAACCTTTCCATTCGGCATTTCCATAAAATCCACAACCATTTTTACATTTAAGATCAGCTTCATCAATTCTTAAAGAGGGTGTTTTTGTCGAATACATCTTGAAGTTCTTATATATTTTTACAATTCTTTTTTTGTATAATTTACATTTTACTTGTAAGGTTCAGTTGCTGCCTTTGTCATAATCACCATGTTTTACATAGTTAAAAATTTGGATATAATAAACGTGAAAACGCATGCGTAAATCATTGCTTGTAAAATTAAATATAATATTATTATTTACAATTATAACATTATGAAACAAATAATAAAAACATATATACATACATATAATATATTAATGTTAGTTTGTATAATATATCGAAATTGATATATAAAAAATTTAATATTTCAAGTTACACAAAGTATATTTTTAAATTTCTTATTTCTTTGCAAAATAATGTAAGATAAACATAAAATTTATAAAAAAAGTATAAATTTTATTTTACTTGTTTCATTTGAATCAGAATTTATATAAGTTGACAGAATTTATAAATGTTTTTGTACATAAAACTTTTCGAATTAAAAATTTTTTTAATAATAATTGAACATTGATAATGCATAATTATTTTATTTATATATTAATACTTATTATACTTTATTTTTTTATATTTTCTAATTCAATATAACGCAATTTATCAATTTTCTCATATACAAACTATGGCAAACAAATTATGGCATCTAAAAAAGCATATATATATATATGCACACATCCTGTTTTTAAATACATAATAATAACTCTATTTAAGCAACAGATTTTAATAATCAAACATGGCAAGATGAACTTAATTCAGAGATTATAAGTATTTTATTAAAAAGTAAATAATCTAGAGAGTAAAATTTTTAATTAGAGTTTTTAATTCATAATTTTAGGACCAAAATTTAACAATTACATATTGTAGTAATATTAAAAATATAGATATAATAATAAATATAATTTATTATTAACTTATTATTTATTACTTTCACAAATATGGAAAACTATTTTGAGAAATTGGTAAAATAATAAATACAAAATATCTCATTATTTAGTATATTATAAATAACATAAAAAATATCAAGAATAAGTTTGTGTTCTAAAATATCAGTTAAGTTGATCAAGAAAAACGAAAGACTTATTATAGATAATATATATATTATATAATATAATATATAGAGTTTAATGTAATTGTACCAACAATTTTTGCAAATATCTCGAAAACGAAACCGAATGACAATTATTATTTAAATAAAAAATGTTCAAAATTTTATTCTCTAAATTTATTTGGCGGTATTCCTACGATTGTAATATAACTCGAAACAATAGCTACGAAAGAAATTTGATTTATTTAACAAAATATTAAACTTTTGAGAATAACTAATTTTCCTAGACAAAAATAATTTTGATATTTATAAATAGGTTAGGAAATTTGCACTTTATTATATATGTACATAATTTAAAAATGATTGTCAAAAAATTTGATAATTTACATTGTTACTAGTTTGTACAAAATAACGAACTGTTTCAGATCATATTTAATTAATAAATAGTTGATAAATAATATTTCGTAGTTCAGAAATTTTATCATATCCTTGACATTAATCTTATTGAAAATGTATGGAAATAATTAAAGTGTCATTTGTAGAAATATTCAGTTTTAAATAATAATAATTTAAGATATATATTAGTTGGAAAATAGAGAATTAATATAAATAATTTAGTTATATTGATACTGAGATAAATAAATATCTATAGAAGATAAGGAATATTTTATTCTATATCATTTATTACTTTTATTTATTAAAAACAACTTAATATATCAATATTGTATTTTTACTAATTAAAGTTACAAAAAAATATTACAAATATTACTGAATAATCTTTATTTAATTCTAACTGAAGTACATATTATCATTAAGCTAAGTTCGTTTCAATATTCTTGAAAGAACAATATCTAAGCAAACCATTTAAAGTAGATTATGCATGATATATAAATATTTTTTTCAGGTAGTGTACATATGGTTATAATAGTAGTGATTCAAAATGTTTTATAGGAGTATAGAAATGTTATACAGTTATAGACAAATGGCATAGAAATGACATAGAAATGTTTATAACAGTAATGGTTCAGTTATATAATTATACATTTTATTTTCTCTCAAAACCTGTGAGAAAAATATATTCGTTATACATTATTTTAAAAAATTTATTTTCACAAATTTTAATTTTAAGCTTTCTATTTTATTTATTTATATAAAAAATTTTCTACAATATTTTTAATTTATGATTAAGTATTTATTACATAGCTTTAAAGAATATGAATATACATATATATAGTTATATATTTGTATTGTAATTACGCTATGATTACGTGTTAACATTCAAAAATTTATTAAAAGCTGAATTAAAAAATATGTAATAATTGCATTATGAGAAAAAGATCCAATATAAAATAAATTTATCAATTGTCGTAATATACATATTGACAAATTAAAAGTTTTTTTTATTCTAGCAAGTTATTTACAGTTTTTAATATATATTACATTTCCGATGATTGATAATTCTGAAATTGTAAAAAATGTCATTATAAAGTTTTAAACTTTCCCGCCTTTTATACTTAACTATCAAGAAAAATGTCTTCATATTTGAAAAGAAGAAGAGGGTTATAATTTGTATTGTTATTTGGTAAACATAAAATTAAATGTTTTCTATATTTTGTTCAATAGCTAAAATATATATGGTAGAATGATGCATTGTATGAGGCTGTTACCTCTTAAAAAGGTATGTTTTTACTTAAATTAGAAAGATTTTAATGTAACCTAGTACTTAAAAATTGTTATTAATAATTAAAATTTGTTATATATATATACATATATATTTATTTTGGTTATTAACAACTTTTATCTTTTTATATGTATAAGATTAGTAAATGCTTATTTTTCTTATTTTTGTTTTCATGATACTTATGTTTATAATTAATAGATCTAGTATAGATTTAATGATATTTATTTATTTTTATTTAAATCAATGACAATAAGTTTCAACTTAGTTATTGTTATACATTTCTAATATCTGATTAATTACATTCTTCTTTCTTGTAAAAGATACCATTGTTGTTGACATCAAAATCTATCACAGAATGTAAGTTTGCTAATAAAAGTGGCATAGGGTTTTTAATAAAACCACAATTTTGTCAATTTTATAAAAATGCACATATAAAAGATAGATCTGAGAATGTAATTAAACTACCAAGTAAAAGTGGAATATTTAAAAGATGGTCATTAAAATTATCACATAGATTTGAGCTTTACAAAAAGAAATATGTAAGTAGTATAATTTTATGATTGAATAAATTATTAATTATAATTTTATTAATTTAATTAGATATTTGTATAAACATTTACTTATATTTGTTTGAATTTTAGCAATTAAGTGCATTGGGATATATATTATATGATGATATTCCTGATAGACTTAATTATTCAATATTTTTTAAAGGTATGTTATTGTTCTTAATTTTTTATTAATTTAATCAAACATAGTAATTGAATAATTATTTTATAGTTAAGTTTAAATTAATTTGAGAAATTAATTTAATAGGTTTTAATATGCCAGATACATTTTATTCCTGGTTCCTAATCACAGAATTACATGTTTGGATGCTAATGGTACGCTTTATGGCTGAAGGTGAAAAAGGTAAACTAGTTATAACAAATATTATTGAGGCTATGTGGCACGATGTTACTATAAGAATGGATTTACTTGGTGTGAGTATTTAATAAATTATGTAATTTATACTGAAGTTTTATATTTCTAATTTTGTTTTTATCTTATTAAACTTAATTTTTGCTAATCATTTCATTATATAAAATATTTGCATTTATTTCTTATTAGCCAATTGCTGGAAAAGTAAAAAGGGAACAAGTAATGAAATTATCATATCAATTTAATGCTGCTATAATTGGTTATGACGAAGGGATTATGTCAGATGACAAAGTATTAGCTAGTGCATTGTGGAGAAGATTTTTTGTCTCTGAATGTAATAATCCTGAACATTTAGAGAAACTTCTAATTTATGTTAGGAAACAGGTAATGATAGTATTTTTGTTTTATTATGAAATATCATATAATAACTTGATTCTTTTGCTTTTAGATTAGTGCATTTGATAAAATTCCATCAGAAAAACTCTTTCATAGATCAATAGCAAAATGGGTAGATCTGTAAAATATCAAGTGATGCTTGTTGGTCTTACTAATAAATTTGTAAATTTGAACTAGATACAATTTATATAACAAATAAATTAAATCTATAAAACAAAATATTATTCTTTATTTTAATCGTGTTTAATTTATTAAGCATAAATTTTACAACTTTAACCTTCTAAAATATCATTACATGACTTGGATTCTAAATGTACAATTGTACGACATAAATATTGTTTCTTACAGTTTAAATTACAAATGCCTTGTAAAGAAGGTTTTGCTTGCTTGTAAAAGTTCCTATAATAAAAAATAAATGATTAAGCTCATGAATAAAATATAATTCCAGAATATTTAATAATTCAATTATTATTTTATTTCCATCATACTTGTAATATTTGTTTAATAACGTTTCATTCTTTATTGCTATAGATAACCAATTGCTTAAAGATTTGACAGACAAATCTGAAAGACCATATTCTGTTTTAAAAGAATATGATTTATACCAGGTTGGTCTTATATTGATATTCTTATTAGCAAGACTAAGATCATACATCCAATTTTGGTAATCAGTTACTTCCTATAAAAAGAAATTTTTGGATATTTTTACTATTATTTTTATATTAAGTGGAGGTAAGTTTGCAATCAGTCTTATATGTCTTTAATTTAGTTTACTGTTTATTATATTATAAGGAGAAAAAAAAAGAATAACTTACGTAATTACTACAATTAACTGTATATATTTTATAATTTGGATTCAATTTTGAATAAGCTGTTATACTACCACCATTCCAGGCCACATTTTTTGCTTCATTATTAGAATTATAAAATATTGCTATTTCATCATTATGAGTGTGTCCATTAAATTCAGCTTTAATTAAATGTGAGAATCTATTGATTATTCGTAAATATTCTCGTTTCCATGTCCTTAAACAGCTATTACTATTGGCAGGTATGTGGGATAAAATATGTACGAATTCATTATTTTTCTCTGCTTCCAAAAGAGTATTTACAAGCCATTGTAGTTGATTATCAGGATCTTTTGGACTATACCAAAGCCACCTTGAATATAAAAAATAATTAAAAGAAATACAAGAAAGGTAAATTACAATACTACAATATCTAATTTGTATTCATTTCACATACCAATTGTAACTGTAACAAACATTAGTATTCAAAGCTATGATTCTAAATTTTTTTTTTGAGTTAACAGTATAATATCCTCCTTGAAGTATAGTAGAACGTGTAGATTCTGGTAACCAGCCATATTCAATCCATAAATCTGCCATTAATTTATAAAGCCAATTTGTTGTTAAATTATTTTGTGTTATACTTTTTGGTGCAAATCTATACATAATTAGAAAAAATTATAAATTATCATTAAATCAATATTAGTTGATATGTCTAAATATTCCAAAATACTTTTGTACTATCAATTTCACAATATTTATGTGAAAATCTATAAATCGATCCAATAATATGTTGTACGAACAATTTTATGGAATGTAATAATACTTCTTCAAATATCCGCAAATAAGGATTCTCCTAAAAAGAAACTATAAAATAGAATCTTGTTTATAATTGATTTTTGTAAATTAATTTTCTAAACTAGGAAAAAATAAAGAGTTTAAATTGTTTTGTTTAGAGAAATTAGAAATAAAATCATAAAAATTTATTGAAATGATTATTAACAAATGGTTAAAATGCTTCAAAATTTGTCAAAAATAGTAACCATTAATTTTATGAAATGTTAAATTTTTAAGTGTTTATATAATCTTTTATATAAAATCATTTACTAAATTTACTGATAGAAATACCTATATTAATATTATAAAATAGTCTTTATGCATTGTGAAAAAATTGTATGTAAAACTTTATTAAACTTACTGATTTAAAGGATTTGGTTCATGATTTCCAAGTATTGGATATATTATAGTATCATTAAAAACATTGTTAATGTAATTATAAATTTTTATAAGACTTTCTATGTTTCCTTCTTTTGAAGTTTCCCATACACCATGGTCTATTATATCACCAGTAAAATATATGACATCTATATCCTAGAATTCATATATATAACTATAAATAATATGTTTATATAAATAAATAACTATATAATTAAAAAATTTAAGATCATATATTTCTTAAATAAAATTTCTTGAATCATAATTAAATGTATACTTAATAATTGTTTAAATTTTATAAATTAAAAGATATAAATTACTTATAGTATTAGTACCTGATGTATATCTTTTATGTGCTTTAAAGCATCAGTAATTGCATGCCATGGAGTATCGCAAGATTTATTTTAACAATTACATATTGTAGTAATATTAAAAATATAGATATAATAATAAATATAATTTATTATTAACTTATTATTTATTACTTTCACAAATATGGAAAACTATTTTGAGAAATTGGTAAAATAATAAATACAAAATATCTCATTATTTAGTATATTATAAATAACATAAAAAATATCAAGAATAAGTTTGTGTTCTAAAATATCAGTTAAGTTGATCAAGAAAAACGAAAGACTTATTATAGATAATATATATATTATATAATATAATATATAGAGTTTAATGTAATTGTACCAACAATTTTTGCAAATATCTCGAAAACGAAACCGAATGACAATTATTATTTAAATAAAAAATGTTCAAAATTTTATTCTCTAAATTTATTTGGCGGTATTCCTACGATTGTAATATAACTCGAAACAATAGCTACGAAAGAAATTTGATTTATTTAACAAAATATTAAACTTTTGAGAATAACTAATTTTCCTAGACAAAAATAATTTTGATATTTATAAATAGGTTAGGAAATTTGCACTTTATTATATATGTACATAATTTAAAAATGATTGTCAAAAAATTTGATAATTTACATTGTTACTAGTTTGTACAAAATAACGAACTGTTTCAGATCATATTTAATTAATAAATAGTTGATAAATAATATTTCGTAGTTCAGAAATTTTATCATATCCTTGACATTAATCTTATTGAAAATGTATGGAAATAATTAAAGTGTCATTTGTAGAAATATTCAGTTTTAAATAATAATAATTTAAGATATATATTAGTTGGAAAATAGAGAATTAATATAAATAATTTAGTTATATTGATACTGAGATAAATAAATATCTATAGAAGATAAGGAATATTTTATTCTATATCATTTATTACTTTTATTTATTAAAAACAACTTAATATATCAATATTGTATTTTTACTAATTAAAGTTACAAAAAAATATTACAAATATTACTGAATAATCTTTATTTAATTCTAACTGAAGTACATATTATCATTAAGCTAAGTTCGTTTCAATATTCTTGAAAGAACAATATCTAAGCAAACCATTTAAAGTAGATTATGCATGATATATAAATATTTTTTTCAGGTAGTGTACATATGGTTATAATAGTAGTGATTCAAAATGTTTTATAGGAGTATAGAAATGTTATACAGTTATAGACAAATGGCATAGAAATGACATAGAAATGTTTATAACAGTAATGGTTCAGTTATATAATTATACATTTTATTTTCTCTCAAAACCTGTGAGAAAAATATATTCGTTATACATTATTTTAAAAAATTTATTTTCACAAATTTTAATTTTAAGCTTTCTATTTTATTTATTTATATAAAAAATTTTCTACAATATTCTTAAGTTATGATTAAGTATTTATTACATAGCTTTAAAGAATATGAATACATATCTATATAGTTATATATTTGTATTGTAATTACGCTATGATTACGTGTTAACATTCAAAAATTTATTAAAAGCTGAATTAAAAAATATGTAATAATTGCATTATGAGAAAAAGATCCAATATAAAATAAATTTATCAATTGTCGTAATATACATATTGACAAATTAAAAGTTTTTTTTATTCTAGCAAGTTATTTACAGTTTTTAATATATATTACATTTCCGATGATTGATAATTCTGAAATTGTAAAAAATGTCATTATAAAGTTTTAAACTTTCCCGCCTTTTATACTTAACTATCAAGAAAAATGTCTTCATATTTGAAAAGAAGAAGAGGGTTATAATTTGTATTGTTATTTGGTAAACATAAAATTAAATGTTTTCTATATTTTGTTCAATAGCTAAAATATATATGGTAGAATGATGCATTGTATGAGGCTGTTACCTCTTAAAAAGGTATGTTTTTACTTAAATTAGAAAGATTTTAATGTAACCTAGTACTTAAAAATTGTTATTAATAATTAAAATTTGTTATATATATATACATATATATTTATTTTGGTTATTAACAACTTTTATCTTTTTATATGTATAAGATTAGTAAATGCTTATTTTTCTTATTTTTGTTTTCATGATACTTATGTTTATAATTAATAGATCTAGTATAGATTTTATGATATTTATTTATTTTTATTTAAATCAATGACAATAAGTTTCAACTTAGTTATTGTTATACATTTCTAATATCTGATTAATTACATTCTTCTTTCTTGTAAAAGATACCATTGTTGTTGACATCAAAATCTATCACAGAATGTAAGTTTGCTAATAAAAGTGGCATAGGGTTTTTAATAAAACCACAATTTTGTCAATTTTATAAAAATGCACATATAAAAGATAGATCTGAGAATGTAATTAAACTACCAAGTAAAAGTGGAATATTTAAAAGATGGTCATTAAAATTATCACATAGATTTGAGCTTTACAAAAAGAAATATGTAAGTAGTATAATTTTATGATTGAATAAATTATTAATTATAATTTTATTAATTTAATTAGATATTTGTATAAACATTTACTTATATTTGTTTGAATTTTAGCAATTAAGTGCATTGGGATATATATTATATGATGATATTCCTGATAGACTTAATTATTCAATATTTTTTAAAGGTATGTTATTGTTCTTAATTTTTTATTAATTTAATCAAACATAGTAATTGAATAATTATTTTATAGTTAAGTTTAAATTAATTTGAGAAATTAATTTAATAGGTTTTAATATGCCAGATACATTTTATTCCTGGTTCCTAATCACAGAATTACATGTTTGGATGCTAATGGTACGCTTTATGGCTGAAGGTGAAAAAGGTAAACTAGTTATAACAAATATTATTGAGGCTATGTGGCACGATGTTACTATAAGAATGGATTTACTTGGTGTGAGTATTTAATAAATTATGTAATTTATACTGAAGTTTTATATTTCTAATTTTGTTTTTATCTTATTAAACTTAATTTTTGCTAATCATTTCATTATATAAAATATTTGCATTTATTTCTTATTAGCCAATTGCTGGAAAAGTAAAAAGGGAACAAGTAATGAAATTATCATATCAATTTAATGCTGCTATAATTGGTTATGACGAAGGGATTATGTCAGATGACAAAGTATTAGCTAGTGCATTGTGGAGAAGATTTTTTGTCTCTGAATGTAATAATCCTGAACATTTAGAGAAACTTCTAATTTATGTTAGGAAACAGGTAATGATAGTATTTTTGTTTTATTATGAAATATCATATAATAACTTGATTCTTTTGCTTTTAGATTAGTGCATTTGATAAAATTCCATCAGAAAAACTCTTTCATAGATCAATAGCAAAATGGGTAGATCTGTAAAATATCAAGTGATGCTTGTTGGTCTTACTAATAAATTTGTAAATTTGAACTAGATACAATTTATATAACAAATAAATTAAATCTATAAAACAAAATATTATTCTTTATTTTAATCGTGTTTAATTTATTAAGCATAAATTTTACAACTTTAACCTTCTAAAATATCATTACATGACTTGGATTCTAAATGTACAATTGTACGACATAAATATTGTTTCTTACAGTTTAAATTACAAATGCCTTGTAAAGAAGGTTTTGCTTGCTTGTAAAAGTTCCTATAATAAAAAATAAATGATTAAGCTCATGAATAAAATATAATTCCAGAATATTTAATAATTCAATTATTATTTTATTTCCATCATACTTGTAATATTTGTTTAATAACGTTTCATTCTTTATTGCTATAGATAACCAATTGCTTAAAGATTTGACAGACAAATCTGAAAGACCATATTCTGTTTTAAAAGAATATGATTTATACCAGGTTGGTCTTATATTGATATTCTTATTAGCAAGACTAAGATCATACATCCAATTTTGGTAATCAGTTACTTCCTATAAAAAGAAATTTTTGGATATTTTTACTATTATTTTTATATTAAGTGGAGGTAAGTTTGCAATCAGTCTTATATGTCTTTAATTTAGTTTACTGTTTATTATATTATAAGGAGAAAAAAAAAGAATAACTTACGTAATTACTACAATTAACTGTATATATTTTATAATTTGGATTCAATTTTGAATAAGCTGTTATACTACCACCATTCCAGGCCACATTTTTTGCTTCATTATTAGAATTATAAAATATTGCTATTTCATCATTATGAGTGTGTCCATTAAATTCAGCTTTAATTAAATGTGAGAATCTATTGATTATTCGTAAATATTCTCGTTTCCATGTCCTTAAACAGCTATTACTATTGGCAGGTATGTGGGATAAAATATGTACGAATTCATTATTTTTCTCTGCTTCCAAAAGAGTATTTACAAGCCATTGTAGTTGATTATCAGGATCTTTTGGACTATACCAAAGCCACCTTGAATATAAAAAATAATTAAAAGAAATACAAGAAAGGTAAATTACAATACTACAATATCTAATTTGTATTCATTTCACATACCAATTGTAACTGTAACAAACATTAGTATTCAAAGCTATGATTCTAAATTTTTTTTTTGAGTTAACAGTATAATATCCTCCTTGAAGTATAGTAGAACGTGTAGATTCTGGTAACCAGCCATATTCAATCCATAAATCTGCCATTAATTTATAAAGCCAATTTGTTGTTAAATTATTTTGTGTTATACTTTTTGGTGCAAATCTATACATAATTAGAAAAAATTATAAATTATCATTAAATCAATATTAGTTGATATGTCTAAATATTCCAAAATACTTTTGTACTATCAATTTCACAATATTTATGTGAAAATCTATAAATCGATCCAATAATATGTTGTACGAACAATTTTATGGAATGTAATAATACTTCTTCAAATATCCGCAAATAAGGATTCTCCTAAAAAGAAACTATAAAATAGAATCTTGTTTATAATTGATTTTTGTAAATTAATTTTCTAAACTAGGAAAAAATAAAGAGTTTAAATTGTTTTGTTTAGAGAAATTAGAAATAAAATCATAAAAATTTATTGAAATGATTATTAACAAATGGTTAAAATGCTTCAAAATTTGTCAAAAATAGTAACCATTAATTTTATGAAATGTTAAATTTTTAAGTGTTTATATAATCTTTTATATAAAATCATTTACTAAATTTACTGATAGAAATACCTATATTAATATTATAAAATAGTCTTTATGCATTGTGAAAAAATTGTATGTAAAACTTTATTAAACTTACTGATTTAAAGGATTTGGTTCATGATTTCCAAGTATTGGATATATTATAGTATCATTAAAAACATTGTTAATGTAATTATAAATTTTTATAAGACTTTCTATGTTTCCTTCTTTTGAAGTTTCCCATACACCATGGTCTATTATATCACCAGTAAAATATATGACATCTATATCCTAGAATTCATATATATAACTATAAATAATATGTTTATATAAATAAATAACTATATAATTAAAAAATTTAAGATCATATATTTCTTAAATAAAATTTCTTGAATCATAATTAAATGTATACTTAATAATTGTTTAAATTTTATAAATTAAAAGATATAAATTACTTATAGTATTAGTACCTGATGTATATCTTTTATGTGCTTTAAAGCATCAGTAATTGCATGCCATGGAGTATCGCAAGATTTATAGTCTCCCCAAAACCCAGCAAGTGATGTTATACCAGTTTTATTTTGTCCTTTTCGACAACATACTGGTTCTCCACAATTTGAATTACCATTTGGTTCATAAAGAGGATCGTAATGAAGATCTGTTATTTGTAAAATTTTCATTTGTTCTTGTGTTTCATTTTCAGTAATTATTATATTAGGTTTATTATTGATATCAATATTCCAAATAAATTCAGGATCCTTTAAAGGACAAGATTTTGATTCTAGTACAACACCACAAATTGTGGTAGCTGTCAAGTTTGGCTTGGAATCTACTATATATAGAATGACAGGCTACAGAAATAAAAAAAATGATAATTTATATACTAATTATCAAAATATTTTGATAAGTTTATTTAAATATGACTTACTAAGTTCAATTCAATAACTCCTTTACAAACTTTTTCTGTCTGAATATTTAACAGTACACATAATTTAATTATTTTGTGTTTTATATTTTCTTCAGACATTCCTTCATGTCGTAAATTCATAAATGTTTTCACAATTCCTTGACATATTATACATATAGCTGTATTTGAAGTTGCAGTTAAAGATTTCCAATCCAAGTTCTGAAATTCTGTAGGAATTCTTAAAGATTGGATCATATCTTTAAACAATTCTGTTTCATGTTCTAACTTTGCCCATAATTCAATTTCATTTGTAAACAAAGACACATCTATATCTGTTAATGAATAAATTTTTTATGTTTTAGTGTATTGTAAACTCTACATATTTATTGTATTGTACTTATGAAATAATCAAAGAAGTTCTTTTTTTTATTTTAATTAGCAGAAGAAAATTGACATTTATTAAGATAAATTAGATTTAATTCTTCAAATATCATTTAATACGTATTCAGTAATATGATATTTGATTCTATTATTAATGCAAATTATATATCTACTGAACAATATAGTTTTTATACTTTGTAAATATTATATATTTTTATT